CAGAGACCATCAGGGAAACCTGATCCCTGTAATCGGCACTAGCAAGTTTAAGGTGCAGTTCAAGGGGTTTGAAGGCAGGCTTCCGCTCATAATCATTGAGGGAAAGCTGCCCAGTCTCCTTGGGCTGGATTGGTTTGATTCCCTTGGCCTGCAGATCAGCGGCATACATAGCATAAACCAATCCGACCTGGACTGCCTAGTTAGAGAATTTCCCGCTGTGTTTGATGGTCAGCTGGGCCATTACACTGGCACGCCTGTGTCTTTCAACCTTGATCCTTCAGTGCCGCCCATCCACATGAAACTGTGGCATGTGCCAATCGCCCTCAAGCCTAAAGTGGACGCTGAGCTAGACAAGCTCATCGTGCAAGGGATCCTTGAGCCGGTGGACCATGCACGCTGGGAGACCCCCATCATTGTGCCAATCAAGCCTGATGGCAGCGTCAGAATCTGCGCTGACTACCGCTGCTCCATCAACCGCGCATTGCCATCTAACGCCTACCTTGTGCCAGTGGTCCAACACCTACTTCACACCTTGGGCGAAGTCTCCATCTTCACGAAGCTGGACCTTGCCCAGGTGTACCAGCAGCTGGTGGTTGACGATGATGCAGCTGAAGCCCAAACCATCATAACTCACCGGGGCACTTTCAAATGCTGCCAATTGCAGTTCGGGGTAAGCATTGCCCCGGTTGTGTTCCAAAGCTTGATGGAGCGGTTGCTCCAAGGACTCAGTGGTGTCGTCCCGTACTTTGACGATGTCCTCATTTCTGCCTCCTGCCATAAGGAACTGATGTCCCGGCTGTGGGCCGTTTTACAGAAATTTCAACAAATGAGACTGAAAGTGAAGCGTGAAAAATGCCAGATTGCTATCAGTCAAGTCGAATTCCTGGGGTTCCTGGTTGATGCTCAGGGCATCCATCCCACCGCTGCCAAAACCAAAGCTATTGTGGAGGTCCCTACACTGGCCTTGAGGGCTGAATGCCAAGCCTTCCTTGGACTACTGAATTTCTATGCCATGTTCCTCCCCCACAAGGCCTCTGTGGCTGAACCGCTCCACCGCCTGCTGGACCTTAAAGCTCCCTAGGTCTGGGGCCTCTTTCAAAGTGGTGAAACAACTGCTGGTGTCAAAAGCTGTGCTCACACAATACAGCGAACACTTGCCCCTGTTGCTGGCCTGTGACGCTTCTCAGTATGGGGTCAGTGTGGTCCTGTGCCACCAGTTGCTTAACAGCGCAGAGGTGCCGGTGGCGTTTTTCTCCAACCCTATCCGCAGCTGAAAGTAACTATGCACAAATTGACAAGGAAGCCTTTGCAATTGTGGCTGGGGTCTGACGGTTCCACCACTATGTTTACAGCCGCTGGTTCCAGATCATCACCGACCACAAGCCGCTCCTCGGGTTGCTCGCTGGGGACAGGCAAGCTCCACAGGTGATGTCCCCTCGCATGACCCGGTCGTCTGTATTCCTAGCCGCTTATGACTATTCCCTGAACCACTGCCCGGGCAAGCAAATCGCCCACGTCGATGCTCTGAGTAAATGCCCCCTGCCGGACACTCTTGAAGAACCTGTGCCCATGTCTTCCATGTTACTGGTGGAAGACCTTGGCCTGCCGGTCACGGCTGCTGACATCGCCCGATTGTCTGCAAAGGATCAGGTAATCTCCCGGGTTTTAGATTGGGTGAAGAGGTGGTGGCCTAGGGACAGGGTAGGGCCAGAATTCCTCCTGTACAAGACTCAGCTGCTGGAGGTCTCTGTACCGAGTGGCTTCCTGTTATGGGGCCATCGCGTTATTGTACCGCCCCAGCTCAGGACTACTGTCCTGCAGCAGCTTCACTGCGCCCATCCCGGCATTGTACGGATAAAGGCATTGGGGCGTAGTTACTTATGGTGGCCTAAGCTAGATCAGGACATAACCGACAATGTCTCCCGGTGCCCACAATGTCAGGGATCTCAGGCAGCTTCACCTAGGGCAGAGCTTCGGGAATGGGAACAACCTACCTCTCTGTGGTCCCGCCTACATGTAGACCTTGCTGGCCCCATTCAGGGACAGGTCCTCCTCATTGTGTTGGACGCGTTTTCTAAATAGCTGGAGGTTGTCAGAATGCCATCCAACCCTGCGGATGCACTGATAGGGGCCTTCAGGAGGTTGTTTGCCACCCATAGGATCCCGGACGTGCTGGTGTCTGACAATGGACCTCAGCTGATGTCCGCCAAATTTGAGGGTTTTCTGGCCTCTATGGGGGTTCGTCACACATTGATTTCCCCCTTCCACCCGGCTAGCAATGGTTTGGCGGAGCGCATAGTCTGCTCCTCCAAGGAGGCCCTCGCCAAAATGAGCCCAGCCTGTTGGCAGGAACGCATCAATACTTTCCTGCTGGCCAATCACAGTACACCGTGCCCAGATACCAACATGAGCCCTGCAGAGCTATTAATGGGCTGACACCTTAGAACTGCCCTTGATTGGCTGCACCCAAATTACACCACTCCTAAACCCTTAGGCTCCAGGGGTGGAACACGATCTTTCATGTGGGGGGAGGCAATATACACTAGGAATTACGTAGGACACCCTTTGTGGCTACCGGGCGTTGTGATTGACAAGATCGGGCCCTGTTCTTATAGGGTGAAGCTGGACGACGGCCGGGAGTGGCAGTGCCACTGTGACCAGTTGTGGGCCAAATGAGGAAACCCGGCGGAGCTGCCTGCCCAGTCCCAGAGGGAGGACGGTACCATGCCCGGAAACGCAGCCCCTGCGAACGTTCTTGCAGCCGGCCCAGAAGTACGAAACAGTGACTTACCTACTTGCAAGACTATGCTTGCGCGAACGTGATGGGAAGGAGTGTCACGTTCTGAGCATGCTCACCAAGTTTGTGTAATGGCGGGAGACAGCCGACAGCTGATTGGCTTACTATCTGACAGCGCTGAGTATAAAAAGGGAGCTGTCAGATGAGAAGCCTGCTGTTCCTATCTTGAAGCCGGTTCCTACTGTTAGCTTGTTGTGTTAAAAGGAATAAACTTGTTAGCCTTTATTCCTGTCTCCGCCTCAGTCATTCCGGCCATAACCGACTGTCCTAGTACACAATAGTATCCCTTATCACCTCGCAAGCATTAGAGATCACTATTTCACTACTAAGTGAAGTGGGATTTATTTTTCAGCCCCATTCATTGTAGCAAGGGAGCAGGAGACAAGATCTCTGAGGGAATATTTGTACTTCAGATAAACGAGTTGGAAAAGATGTGGGCTTTGCACAGTTTCTGCTGGTCTTTTTTAAGGAACACTTTGTGGATCATAGCTTGTGGACTACAAGTTGCAGTAAGAATAGTTTTCTGATGATGGTCCTTCATCTAGGAAGATGTCTTCAGAAAAGACTGAGCTACATATGATTCTGGCAGTTGGATGAAGTTTGGAGACTGCATAGGGAGAGGTATACGGAGTGTAGAATGGGCAGGTAAGGGTGGAAGACTAAACTGAGAGCAGAAGAAGAACCCCAAAGGGAAGATGGGCATAAAAGTTCTGCTAAGGTAGGTATTAATTATTTGCAAGAATGCTAGAATAAAGAGTTGGAACATCCCATAGTAATAAATCAGTGTCTGAATCCTTATACAGTATCAAAATGTTACCTATAATATTTAGAGGAGACTAATTCAAGTTTTTGTTTCATGTTTAAACAATGATGCTGTGCTGATATATCTTTAGACAAAAGGATTGGCTGTTATGTTGGAATTATTAAGCAGAGAAAGCACATGTTCATGACAATGTCCAGTCTCTCATCCATCTGACGACAGCAAAATCTACACTTTAAGTCCGGGTGTGCATACAATGTCCTCGCATTTGGTTTCACAGAGTTTTAATATTGTAAAAGAAGCATAGAAATTTCATTATGCCATTTCTATAATAGGATATGGTTATGTTTGGTAATGTTTGTCCTTCCTCAAGTTTAGTCTGAGATTAAGAAATGCAGTCACTGTTCTGTCCCCTAACCATTTGAGGTTTGTGGGCAGATATCTTTTCTAGTTCTACCATATATGTAGAACTAGATGTGTTTATAGCGTATCACGCATGGTCTTAACATAGATTTATGAAAGGGCATTATTATATTGGCAGTTTGCCTTTCAGTTCTGCTCTTATTAAGTGTGTTTTTTTACAGCAACTGCACACTCATTCCATTAATATATATGTGAAATTGGGGTACAGTATTTCGTAAAACCAATATCCTGACTGCTGGAGGAAAAATTGCAGTTACTGTATGCATTAATATTACATTAATATTACATATACTGAGCAATGGTCTTAATTTTTAAATGAACTGATGATAATTCATGGTTGCTGAATCTATTTCACTGCAATAGATTTTAATTAACCAGATTTATCACCATTCCCCAAGCATTTATGACTGTATTAAACAATTATCTACCAGAATATTATAACTTTTAGAGTATTATATACCTATGAAAGTTTAAAAAATTGTGACCAGCATCACATACTGTATCTCACAGACATGGTCGTTTTTTCTAATGGTTATCCCAGTGGTGGGATTCAGCCAGTTCGCACCAGTTCAGGAGAACTGGTTAACTTTCTGAGCAGTTTGGGGAACTGGTTGTTGGAAGAAATCATTAGGGCAGAGAACTGGTTATTAAATTATTACAAGTTAAATTATTTGAATTCCACCACTGGGTCACCCCCATATGTACCATTGGGTGGACGAAGTATGGCACTGCCCAATACTCTGTGATCACTGCAGTTTTTGCAAAGGGCAAACTTTGCAGGTGTGCATATTCTCTCATAATCTCCATCATGCAGTGTCCTATATGAGTAGGCTTCTTTCCTTTTTCAAATATTGAAATAAATGCTGAGAATATAAGAAAGTGAGAGGTTTTTCCCCACATAATGGGATGCAATGGTGAAATTGTCTCAAGATGTTTGTGTAAGATTTATAAGCACAATCATTTTTTTTGTTCCCCATGTATATATACAGATCTTTGTCCAATGAATATATCCAATGAAACAAACAAACAAAATAAAGCATCATGATGAACCAAACATCTGTGACTGAATTCCTTCTGCTTGGTCTTTCCAGAAACTTGAGGATCCGTCTTTTTTTGCTTGGACTTTTTTCAATTGTCTATGTTCTGACTCTGGTGTACAACACAATCATCCTGATGCTCATTTGGCTGGATATGCGACTCCACACTCCCATGTATTTCTTCCTGGGCCAACTTGCCTGTGTAGACATCTGCTATACTTCCAGCACAGTCCCCCAGATGTTGGCTAACCTTCAAAGCCCAAGACAAACCATCTCATTGGCTGCCTGTGCCATACAGATGCATATTTTCCTGGCATTGGCTATTACTGAGTGCATTTTGCTTGCAGTAATGGCATATGATAGGTATGTAGCAATATGCCACCCACTGCATTATGTCTTCCTCATGAAAAAGACAGTGTGCATGAAATTAGCCTTGATCTGCTGGACTACTGGTTTTTTATTGCCAGTGGTCCATACTGTTCTTACCTGGCAATTGCCGTTCTGTGGTTCTAATTTGATTGATCATTTCTTTTGTGAAATGCCGGCTTTGCTGAAGCTAGCATGTGCCGATACCCAAATGGTTCAAACGGTTACTTCAATGGGGTGCATTTTCACCTTACTTATTCCCATCTCCTTTATCTTGATGACTTATATCCGCATCTTAGTGGCCATTTTAAAAATCCAATCTGTGCAAGGGCAACGCAAAGCTTTCTTTACATGTGGTTCCCATATGACCGTTGTGGTTCTTTTCTATGGGAGCGCCATATTTATGTACATGCGACCAGAGTCCAGCCATTCTTCAGGCCAGGACAAAATAGTCTCTCTTTTCTACAGCATTGTCGCACCCATATTCAATCCCATGATATACTGTCTAAACAGCAAGACAATGAAAGATGCCTTTCTAAAAATGCTGCAATGATGTAACTTTTGAATGATGATTAGATAGCAAAAAGGGCCACTTTTTGAGCTTTAATACCATTATATGAAGTTTCCAAAAGATGACCTAATTAATTTACGAGCCTCGAGACAAAGTTCAAAAGAAAAGAAGTCATTTATTAGGATCAACATTTTGGCATGTTCTTTTGTGAAGCCGATTGTGGATTTCCGGTTAATGATCTTTGCACTGTGTCCCTAACTCTCCCCTCCCTCAGTCTGTGTCATAAATCATATCCACCAATGAGGTTGTAGAAATATGAGATCCGACTCTGGCCAAAGGTATGCATGGAATCCTTCCTCCAATGTCAACTTGATAATAATCATGGTAATGCTTTGCAAGTTGACACGTTACTCTAATAGCAGTCTCACTCTGGCAATGGAACAAATATGTTGTAATAAACAATGGTCCACATTATTATTACTATTGATCATAACTAATTAAAAATAATCTATATGAGTTTTTACAGATTGACTGATTAAGTAATTCTTCATAAATGTCCACATTAGAGAAATTATGGGTGATTTCTGATTGAGCCTATTTCTCCCTGGAATAGCATCTGCAAATGGAGCAAAAATTCCCTTTCTCTGCAGACCAATGTGACTATCCTCACTAGTTTTAAAGCATTGGGATGTCTTCTGAAAAATATTTTGGAAACACACAGGATGCTTCTGTACTGAGTAGGGGAGAGCAACCAGGTTAAGTCCACCATGCAAGTAACAGTCTGTTCACAATAAAACACAATTGCAAAAAAATGATTCCTTTGTTTTTAAGTGATAAATATAGATGTTACATTAGGTAACTTCTTAGAGGAAGTATTTCCTTAAAAGCACTAAAGCAGGAAGTGTTTATGCAAAAATGCTCCCTATTGTAAATTTTTAATTGACACAACAGGCTTTTGTTTGAAAATAGAAAATCTGTTCTCTAATCAAGAAGAAAGCTTTTATTCAACTGAGTAATCAGTAATATTTCCACAACGTACAATTTATGCTTTTCCCCTGGTTTGGATTCCAGACAAATCAATCTATATAAATAAAAATGTAAAGGTTGTTTGTTCAAAATCGCTAATCTCCTAAAGTTCTTCACCGATTGCTTTGATATTTTGACACAACGTTGCATTCGAATATGCGGATGTTTTTATATACGTATATTATATAGATGTCACAACTGTGACAGGTAAAATCATGATTTTTTGTAAAAAACATGCTTTTTTGAAAACCAGCGCCATCTGGTGGAAGTAAAAGCCACACACGCTATACTAAATATAGTATATATACTACCCCCGGCCAGCCCAGCCAAGCTCCAGAGGAGGCGGAGGCGGAGTGTCTCCTCAGCCCCGCCGGCCGCGCGTGCTCTCCGCCCCCCTCACAGCGAGCCAGCTATGGCCTCATCAAGGCGGTTCCGATGGGGCGGCGGCAGTGGTGTCAGCCTGAGATGCAGCGGGGCTGGGGCGGCCCCTGGGTGCCCCGTGAAGCGGCACATTGAGGACTTCTCCTCCGAGATCATGAACATCTCACTCTCCTGGGCCACCGACTTGGGGGACCCCAAGCGCAGCTCCTCCGATGAGATGCTCAACAATTTCCCCGAGGCCAACAGCCCTGGCGCTGTCTTCCCCAACCAGCCTCTCCTGGACCAGCAGCCCCGAGTCCTGACCAACGGCAGCACCTACCTGCCACCCCACTACGCCCAGACTAGGCCACAGCAACGCGTGGCCAGGTACAGCTAGTTTATCAATAAAGGACAATATTTGTAGCTCAGGGTTGAAATCCCAAAATGCCAGGGAATATCTAGAAGCCTGGCATTCTGACAAATCAGCCATCAACAGATAGATAGACATTAACAACCTCTATAGACTATGCAAATTAGACTACCACCCAGATCAAAAAAGGAACAAAAAGACCCAAGGACCTCTTTACCAGCAATCAGCACCCAGATCAGCATAGATTAACTCCAAAGCTAACATCAGACCAACAATCAAATAAAGAATATTCCAATCAAGAAACTGCCAATGAAGACAACAGTAAACAGCCCAACCAAAGACTATCTAAGTCCATCTCCACCAACATTGACAGGGCAAGCCACCAGGGCAAACTGCACTCCTTATTAGAATTGATGATGTTACCTAGTCTGCACGAAAACAACAAGTCCAGAGAGCACTCAAATCAATTACAGTAATCTATACAAACGAATTAAACACTGTAGCCATAATTATCAAATGCCAGTCCAAAGACCTTTACAAAATGCATAACTGAAGTGGCAAGTTCACATATTCTCACAAATTATGGCGAGCAACATTGAATTCTTTCATAAATAGACAATTTGACTTGTGAATAATCAAAGGGACGGACTTTGCAGAGAAATCTCATTATTCCAACATCATCCCATGCAGCAGCGGAAACTACTAATAACACTGTAGCCATTCGAACAAATTGGGGACAAGAACTGCAATGTCACCTGTATGTCCATGCAGTGCATATTCTCCTGGCTGTGCCAGAGCAAATGTAATTTATCTACTCAGATTTAAAAAATTGATGCTGATGGAAATTATTGATGGATAGATAGTAAATGTGTAATGCACAACTCTATTCCAGCTGCCAATACAGCTTCACAAAGAACTCTTACTATTCCCTGTATGGCAGTTGCTTATCAGTGTCCCTTATAGGATTGAGTGACTGCACACTGGGAACCAGGAACTATTACTTTCCATTACCAAAATGTCAACACCACACTGAGAGGCCTTTATGTATTTATTTGAAGCATGCCGTAAAGGATAGAAAGACAGAGAGTCTTGCTTCATAAATGGTGCAGACCATTTGAAAGGGAACAAAATCCATACTATTCTGGAGAGTTGCCTAGGTACAGTTCCAACAAGGCAGTTGTATTCTCTGCCTTTGCAAAGAGCTGCCCCAAGTGAAGCCACATGCAGTAGTCTAACTGAATGATGTCAACGCATGGATCACTCGTCCAGGAACAGCATGTCCACTATAAATGGTCAAAAGCTCTTTTAGGTTCAGCTTCCACCTGCTCTTCCAGCAGAAGCTATAAACCTTCAGAGTAGATTTTTAAGGAAAGTGTAAGCCCATCTAGACCAATAGCTGGAATATCCATCGCTTCTGTACTGACAGTAACTTTGTCTTGCTAGGATTCAGTTTCAGACAGTTTCACCCAATCCAGTACCATATAGACTCTAGCAATTCTCTGCTATATCACCTTCTCAGGCTGGGATAGAAATGTTAAGCTAGATATAATCAACATGTTGATATGAAATCCTTAATTATTCCAAAGTCTTTGCACAAAAGTTAAACAAGATGTGAGAGCGTTAGTATCTTTGGCTCCCAGTAGATTTGAAAATAGCCAACAAATTGTAGGTGTGTTTAAACTCGGTTCACTCGATTGGCAGATGGAAAGGTTGATTACATGAAGAGCACTCACAGTAGTCATATTTTGAGAGGATCCCTTGACTTCAGTAATTCTTTGCTTTAATGTATATGTGATGGTCTAGACCAGAGTTTCTCAGCTTTACCAACTTTAAGATGAATGGAATCCAATTCCCACTGGAATTCTGGTTGAGGAATTCTGGGAATTGAAGTATATTCGAAGTTGCTAAAACTGAGAAACACTGGTCTAGATCCAAGTGGAGGTCTCCAGGGCATCAAACAGCAATTTCTTTTATGAAAGCTCCACTGAACTTGAGGTCTCCTTCAGAAGAAGCATGTGTTTTGCCACGAGTGCTAGTTCCTCCCAGAACAACAGACATTTAAAACTGAATTGAAGATGTCTCTCTGCCCACAGATAAAAGCGGGAAGAAATACTGCATGCAATACAGGCAAAAACAGAGTAAACCTTCCCACAACATTATAACTAACAGGTGGGTGCATTGCAGTGCAGTCTTTGTATTTTTTAATTGAAAATCAATACAATGCTTTAGCACCTAGATATAGTATGGTGATTGAAATTAATTAAACATAACAAAAAAGAGAAAACAAATTAATAATAAAAATAATTTTAAAGATCCATATTATTATAGCCATTAATAATAGCATAAAATTAATTCAATCCTTATGTTCATCATTAAATCTACGCCGTAGAGAAACATATTGCTTCACTTCTCATCTCTGGAGCATTGAGACTTTTCAAAAATAGACAACAGATTCAATCCATTCTTTAAAATTAAGAAGGCAAATTTCTTTACATGAAGGTAAAAATATCTTCTTTGCCAAGCTGTAATTTCAATAGAGCTGAAACTCTTCATGAGACGAAATATTCCATTCTTTAGGTATACAGTTTGAGATTATATTAGGATCCTTCACTTTATTTCTTCTCAAAATTATTCTAACGTATATAGTAAAATCATATTGATTCTAGTTGGACAGGATCAGTTCATAAGAATCTTCAAATTTCTTGCTATGTCAACAGAAAAAAAATCTAATGTGTAACACTTTTTACAAACATTTTTAAGATGTCTAATGAACATGAAATAATATTTTTGCTAAATTAATATCAAATTATATCATAAGAATAATATTGTCGTGGGCTCATTGATTCTCCAAAAATTAATACTCTCATTTTTATTCTAAAATACAGATATATAACTAATACTGACTTACATTTACTTTGAAATTCCTTTTAATATTGAATTTTGGTTTTATTCAAGCACTACTTCTCTTAAAGATCTTTAAAGTGCAGGTATCTTGCTAAGAAAAATTTGTTGGAAAATAAATATTTTAAAGATCTTGAGATTGATCATCTCAAGATCTTTAAAATAATCATTAGGAATAGTATCGATCCCTTGTTTGGTCTAAGCATTATGCTAAATTATTAGGAAATCTTTGCACTATTTTAACATTTGTGTCATTTTGCAACAATTTCTTATGATTAGGAATCAAAATGTTGGTATTTAAGGCTGGAAAGGAAGAATCCTATTTAATGTACCTGAATCCTAAAACATATCAGATTTTCAGAGGTGTAACAAACTTACTTTCCAAAAAGACCCATGAGAAGAACATTCATAATTATTTTTCTAATTTTTAAAAAATAAAATAAAGGCCCAAATATGTAATTGAGACTCTATAACCGTGATGGTGAAGAGGTGGCACGCAGAGCCCTCTCTGTGTGCATGTGCGCCGTCCCCAGCTGTTCTTCTGATTTCCAGCGTGCACATGCGTGCCGGCCAGCGGGTCTTCGTACGTGCCGGAGTGCTGGAAACCTGAAGACTGGGTATCTGGCGCTCTGGCACGCGCATGCACATACGTTCTGGTTTGAGCACTTGGTGATGAAAAGGTTCGCCATCACTGCTCTATAGCCATTACAATAGTAACTAACCTCAATTTATGCAAGAACACTCAAGGGCTTTTGCCTGCCATAACACATTTTCTCATTAACTTTCTACATACAAAAATATCTAATGGGGGCTAATATTGGATACCTCTTAAAATATAAACATTAAGTTCCATGTAATACTTATTTCAATAATTTTACAAAGTATATTAAATGAAATATTATTGTATGGTCCACTGAACCTTTCCTAATTCTTGGTGACTGGGTGGAAATGTCAATGCAGTTTTCTTGAGAATATTTTCAGAGGTAACTTTCTAGAGCTGAATACTGAGAGGCCCACAGTTACCATACATTGACTATATTATGTTCATATTCTCTTGGCTTCTGGTCCAGCACCTTAAACAAGGGAGCAAACATTGGATAAGAATAACTCCTTCCAAATCTCCATGTTTCTTTATCCAAACAACGAGGTTAGTAAAGTATCTACTGCTTATCTCCCTGGCATTAAATAGAAGTAAAGCTATGCAGAAACAGAAGGACATATTTCTGAATGATTTGAAACAATGAGAATCAAGACGTTAATATAATTCAATCCTAGATTTAGAACAAATAAATAAATAAAAGCATTTCATAATCAGTTGGATTTAATGGAAGTTAATGGCACTTAAAAGTTGAACATTATTAAACAGAAACATTTTGAGAAATGTAAGGAAACAGATAAATCCATCTTATCAACTGCATAAGAAATATGATACAGTAAAAGAATTGTTACCTCCATTTGGGATGGTTATTAGATAATTTTTTACAGCAAAGAAAATGAAAAAGCAGTTTATTAAATATTATTTTACATTATAAAATGAACAGACATCTGTTCTGGAAAATGATCAAACAATAATTGAACAAAACTTTGCATACAAAATTTACTGATCACAAAATGAAGTTTTTAGTTATCCTCTAACTAATGACAGATTTTAGAAATCTTGTCTTTTTAAAAATAATTTTAGCAAATAGTCAAAATTTATGTGTTATGAATTTAAATTGGGGATATATACATATTATTTATTTACATTTATATAGTATGTACTGACATAAAATCTAACATTTTATTTCACAGGGAAGACACTTTGATTTAAGAATACAGAGTAAAAATACTTACGTACATGCCTCTTGTCTTCCCCATTTTGTACACAAATGTCAGATTTTCTAACTGATCTTAGACAGCTAGAAAACTTAGCATGCAGACAGGAGGGAACAGCTTTGAAGAACTACATAGCAAGCAGGCAACCTAAAGGAATGTTTAAAGCCATCATTTCCCTTTCTTCTGCAAAACATAGTAATTGGGCTTCTATTCTCTCAATGAGTCTACAGAAAATAATCAGTATAGGCAAAATCTTACAATGTTTACAGAATTACAGTTGATTTATTCTGCAATCTTTTTTTTTTGCAAAGTCTTTTCTTGACAGAATCAGGAGAGGAATTCACAGAACAAAAAAAAAGTCCGTAATGAAAATAAACTGATTGGTCTAGAAAAATTGTATGTAGATATGTATATTTTAGTAAATTCCCATGATTCCTAAAGAAGAGCAAAGCTCTCATGTACACTAATTTTCATGGTCCTTTGATGCACTGCTTGATTTTATTAGACAGACATTTATGATGAAATAAATGAGGCTATGTTATGTTTCCAATGCATTGACTTTGCTCCTCCACTTTTTATTATCTTTATTTCATTTTAACAATTTGTTTCTTACTCTTTCACTTGACTTTGCTTTAGATGACTAACATTTCTGCTGATTATGAAGAAATGTTTGGTTTTCTACTTGTTTATTAGTTGTATGTCACCAGTGGTGGGATTCAGCCAGTTTGCACCTATTTGGGAGAACCGGTTGTTAACTTTCTAAGCAGTTCGGACAACTGGTTGTTGGAATAAATCTCATTTTGTTTTTTTCCACTTTACAGGCTAATCTTGTAAGGAAGGCAGGAAGGAAACATTCTGGTATTGTTTCTAGCCTAATCTTGATTGCCCTGCTTACAGAAACTGCCTCTCCGGTTAACCCTTATTACATTGTAACAGCTAAGGTGAAGCATCCATTGACATGAGTGATGTTGAGTTGGCCACGCCCACCCAGTCAAATGTCCATTGAGCCACGCCTACCCAGCTGGTCATTAGGGCAGAGAACCAGTTGTTAAATTATTTGAATCCCACCACTGTATGTCACCCAGAGTCACTTTATTGTAAGAATGGCAGCCATATCAATAAGACATAATTTATTCATATAAAATGGATTTATATGGATTTATAAATTTATAAAATATAAATTTATAAAAATTTATTCATAAAAAAACAACACTGCAGGAAAAAAATGGTGTTACATAGTGATAATTAGAGAAAAAAAGAAATGTATGTAGTTCAAGAATATTTGATAAATGTATTTAATCCTATCTTTTATAGGACTCGTGACATTTGAGCCATGGTGGTGCAGTGGTTAGAACACAGTACTGCAGGCTTCTTCTGTTGACAGCTGGCTAACTGCAGTTTGGCAATTCAATTCTCACCAGGCTCAAGGTTGACTCAGCCTTCCATCCTTCCGAGGTGGGTAAAATGAGGACCCATTTTGTTAGCGACAATATGCTGACTCTGTAAACCACTTAGAGAGGGCTGTAGAGCACTGTGAAGTGGTATGTAAGTCTAAGTGCTAGTGCTATTTCAGATAGCAAGTCAATTTCCTTTTTTACAGAAGTGGAAGTGACTGATATTCATTATTCCATATATACTGTAGTTGACAGAATTTCCCTCTTGTACCTGTAAAATGAGATTGGGAAGCTATAATGGCAAACCAAACCTATGTGGCTGAATTCCATTTCCTTGGCCTTTCCAGAAGCTTGAAGATCCGTCTTTTATTGCTTGGACTTTTTTCAATTGTCTATGCTGTCACTCTGGTGGGCAACACAATCATCTTAATGCTCATATGGTTGGATGCCCGGCTCCACACCCCCATGTATTTCTTCCTGACCCATCTGGCTTGTGTGGACATCTGTTATACTTCCAGCACCATCCCCCAGATGCTGACCAACCTTCAAAGCCCAGGACAAGCCATCTCAGTGGCTGGATGCGCCATACAGATGTATATATTTCTGGCATTAGCCACAGCAGAGTGTTTTCTCCTGGCAGTGATGGCCTATGATAGATATGTGGCAATATGCCATCCACTGCACTACACAGTCCTCATGAACAAAAAAATATGCATCTTTATGGCCATGGCATGCTGGACTAGTGGCCTCGTCCTCCCTGTGGTCCATACCGTTCTCACTTGGCAGTTGCCATTCTGTGGTCCTAACTTGATAGATCACTACTTTTGTGAAATGCCAGCTTTGCTGAAGCTGGCATACGCTGATACCAGAGTTATTGAAAAGATTACTTCGGCGGGCTGCATTTTCACCTTGCTTATTCCTATTACTTTTATCACAATGACTTATATCCGCATTCTAGTAGCTATCTTGAAAACCCAATCTGCAAAAGGGCTGCACAAAGCTTTCTCCACATGTGGTTCCCACATGACAGTTGTGGTACTTTTCTATGGCAGCGCCATATTTATGTACATGAGACCTGAATCCAGTCACTCTCCAGGCCAGGATAAAATGATTTCTTTGTTTTATAGCATTGTCATTCCTTTGTGCAATCCCATTATTTACAGTTTGAAGAATAAGGATATAAAAAGAGCCTTGGCTAAAATCCTGCACTTCTGAAGGCTTTCTGGAGTGCCAAACAAACAGATAAGATTCCTTGTAGTGGTCTATAAACTCTGGGCTGTTTCTTCTTTCGGACAACAACACTTTATGGTGTCAGGCAGGATCTTTCTTCTATCTTTGATTGTTCCTGTTTTTTTAAATTTATATTACTGATGATAAAAATGTAATCTGGAATCTTCTAGGAAATATCCTATTCAGATTTTTCATTCTAGGATTAAGTGAGAACTTGAAAAATTTGAAATTAACATTTTAGTTATTACTTTAATTAAATCAACAATTGCTGCAGAAAAATACTATAGTGCAGTAGCAACAGGAGTTGACATATACAGATGTTACTTAAACAAATTGGATATTTGCCATGATGACTATATAATGGTACTATTTTATTCTGGTTTCTCAAGGCATACTCTCACAGGATCTTTGCACCACTCCAAGATCACTTTTGCATCTGTTTGATTTCTGTTATTGTAATCTGGGTTCATCTGAGCTGAAATAATTTTTACTTCAAACATAGTATGTTCAAAAGATTAACTACAATCTGTTGGAAGAAATGTCCATCTGTGTTGAATTCCAAGTGGGAAGAAAAACACAAACATGGAGATTGCTTGGAAAGATGGTTTAAGGTGGACAGGACCACATGGTTTTGAGGTCCTGGGCCAAAAAAGAGCACATGGGTGTGTGTGTTAGCTATCCTCTCTTGGGCTCCGCCTTGGAGCTTCCTGTTCCTGTTTAAGAAATGTATTCTGATTGGTTGTCAGACTCCCATGAGTTCATGGAGGGGTAATTTAGTAGTGTCTTTTGAGTCCCAACCTTGGTTGAATCTTGCTGGGTGATGTAATCTCCTCAGGTGCCATGTGGTGAGTTCTGTTGCTAGATGAGTAGAGGGCTAATCCTATCATGTCCTAAGGGCCATGTCTTTTGTGTTGTAGATAAACTGGCCCAGCCTTTCTGGGCTATTAACAAAGGTGGGGGCTGCTTTCCAAGAGCATGTTTCTCCTTTTCTCATCCAGGGAGGTATAATATTCTGCCTTTTTAATATTTCTTAGAATATTTCATTCTTCTAGGAGAGGGGTGGATGGCTAACTTCCTACAAATCTTTTGCTTGAAATGTTGTGCCTTGATGGAGTCTGTGGGTAATACATTACGCTATTGGCAGGAAACTTGTTTCCTGTTGTAAATAGCTGGGAGTCACCGGATTCCATCAACTTCAGAGATATGTAGCCTTTCATGAATTTAAGGATTGACCAAATCTCATCTTTGTAAATATTTTGAAGTTCACTTTTTAAATACTGCTTATTAAAGATTGAAAACTTTAAGAACTGCATGTCGGGGTTGTATTTGCTGAATGAATTTCCCTTCGAACTGTTAAGAAAATTATACATTTAAAGTTTTGTAACATTTTTTTTAAAATATATATATATACAAAAGATGATCACAGCATTAATTTTAGAAAGTTTTAAATGAACTAATGGTTCGGATGGATTTGATTTCAGATTTTGAAAAATAATCCTTTTTTCATGGGAAATGTCTGTATGTTTATATCTAAACAACTAATAAAATGACTTAAAGGATGGACACCAGAGGGCAGTAGAAGGAAATAAATGATGGCTGCATTAAAGGAAATTTTAGGAAAATAGGCTAAAGGTGTAATCTGCTACTATAAAACTTGGGAAATGATCCATGCTCCACTGAAAAAAATTGAACTGAATTGGAATATGAATTTTAAAATGATAGCGTATGAGAAAAATATGGAAATAATAGATTTACAAATGAAACTGGAAGATGATTTAATAATTAAAAATATTATATCAGAAGAATGATGTGGATAATTTCTCAATGGATTTTAAAAAAGGATTTGTTGAAATTTCAAGGATTTCATAAGTAGTGACAGTGAGAATATGAACAATGAAACGGATAATTTTTAAATGCTGGAATTACAGGAGACTTAATAAAGATGCCAATAATGAGACAAGAGGTAAAGAAAGTATGAGAAAGTAGTTTAGACTTTGCTGGAGAGAACGAAAAAAAAGGGGGGGGGGACACAAAATTGGTTTATTGCTCAAGATTAACATAAATGGGTTGCTATTGTTGACAATGTTTAATTTAATTTTTTATTAGTACTGTATATGATGTTTTAAATTTTTTATTTAAAAATGGGCTAGAGAGATTTGTTTAAATAGAAAATGAAAAGTACAGATAAATGGAAAAGGAGAGATGGAAAAATGTTTATTAATGTAATTTGTATGTTAGGTTGTTATTTCTGATAGCCCATAATGCACTTTTGTTGATTTAAGATGGAGTGGTAAAAGCCTGATAGATTTGATTGTAGAAAATGTGTTTGAGATATGGGATGAAGAAGTGATTGGGTTTTTTTTTTCATTTGAGAAAACGGTGGCAAGTTGTTGGTGTTGATTGTACTTCCTGAGGAGGAAGAGTTGATCT